AGAGCAGTGATGTTTTGGGGCTGTCGCTGGGCAACACGGACTTTCAACTCCCTCCAAAGATTTTCTATGGGGTTGAGATCTGGAGACTGGCTAGGCCACTCCAGGACCTTGAAATGCTTCTTACGAAGCCACTCCTTCGTTGCCCGGGCGGTGTGTTTGGGATCATTGTCATGCTGAAAGACCCAGCCACGTTTCATCTTCAATGCCCTTGCTGATGGAAGGAGGGTTTCACTCAAAATCTCACGATACATGGCCCCATTCATTCTTTCCTTTACACGGATCAGTCGTCCTGGTCCCTTTGCAGAAAAACAGCCCCAAAGCATGATGTTTCCAACCCCATGCTTCACAGTAGGTATGGTGTTCTTTGGATGCAACTCAGCATTCTTTGTCCTCCAAACATGACGAGTTGAGTTTTTACCAAAAAGTTATATTTTGGTTTCATCTGACCATATGACATTCTCCCAATCCTCTTCTGGATCATCCAAATTCACTTCAGACGGGCCTGGACATGTACTGGCTTAAGCAGGGGGACACGTCTCGCACTGCAGGATTTGAGTCCCTGGCGGCGTAGTGTGTTACTGATGGTTGGCTTTGTTACTTTGGTCCCAGCTCTCTGCAGGTCATTCACTAGGTCCCCCCGTGTGGTTCTGGGATTTTTGCTCACCGTTCTTGTGATCATTTTGACCCCACGGGGTGAGATCTTGCGTGGAGCCCCAGATCGAGGAAGATTATCAGTGGTCTTGTACGTCTTCCATTTCCTAATAATTGCTCCCACAGTTGATTTCTTCAAACCAAGCTGCTTACCTATTGCAGATTCAGTCTTCCCAGCCTGGTGCAGGTCTACAATTTTGTTTTTGGTGTCCTTTGACAGCTCTTTGGTCTTGGCCATTGTGAAGTTTGGAGTGTGACTGTTTGAGGTTGTGGACAGGTGTATTTTATACTGATAACAAGTTCAAACAGGTGCCATTAATACAGGTAACGAGTGGAGGACAGAGGAGCCTCTGAAAAGAAGAAGTTACAGGTCTGTGAGAGCCAGAAATCTTGCTTGTTTGTAGGTGACCAAATACTTAATTTCCACCATAATTTGCAAATAAATTCATTAAAAATCCTACAATGGGATTTTCTGGATTTTTTTTTCCTCAATTTGTCTGTCATAGTTGACGTGTACCTATGATGAAAATTACAGGCCTCTCTCATCTTTTTAAGTGGGAGAACTTGCACAATTGGTGGCTGACTAAATACTTTTTTTCCCCACTGTATATATATATATATATATATATATATATATATATATATATATATATATATATATATATATATATATATACACTACTACTACTACTACTGCTACTACTACTACTACTACTACTACTATTACTACTACTACTACTACTATGACCTACTGGGTGTGCCTCAAAAGTAGGAGAGGCCTGCATCTAGCCATAGCCTTTATATCCATACTATTACTACTAATACTGTATGGAGGAGCTACCGGGTCTGTCTGAAAGGTGAGGCCTGCCCCTCCATACATCGATAGCCTTTTATATCAATACACACTCCCTACATATAGCCTTACTCTGGTCCTCTGTAGCTCAGCTGGTAGAGCACGGCGCTTGTGACGCCAGGGTAGTGGGTTCGATCCCCCGGGACCACCCATACGTAAAAATGTATGCGCGCATGACTGTAAGTGGCTTTGGATAAAAGCGTCTGCTAAATGGCTTATTATTATTATTATTATTATTATTATTATTATTATTATTATTATTATTATACACACCTGCTGCTATGCTTTGCGTCTAGCGATACCCTTTACATTTAAACTTGTAAAATGGCTTTAGACGATATATCAGCGACACTGCTTATATTTGCAGTGGTATTACAGTTCCCTGAAGAGGTATTGCGAATCTAATTAATTTACAGCACTGTACTCAATAAAACCCTATTTTATTTATTCACGCCTGTGTAGGTGTCCTGATGATATGGGTTGTTTGTAACACCACTTGACTGACTGTCTGCGTCCCAAATACCATCATATTCTCTATATAGGGCACTACCAGGGCCCTAGCCAAAAGTAGTGCAGTATATAGAGAATTTGGTGCCATTTGGGACATTAACCTAAATATCACAGAGTAGGCCTTTAATACCACTTGACTGGACCACATCATCATTCTAGGGGTCACATCATCATTCTAGGGGTCACATCAGCATTCTAGGGGTCACATCAGCATTCTAGTGGTCACATATTCATTCTAGGGGTCACATCATCATTCTAGGGGTCACATCATCATTCTAGGGGTCACATCATTCTAGGGGTCACATCATCATTCTAGGGGTCACATCAGCATTCTAGGGGTCACATCAGCATTCTAGGGGTCACATCAGCATTCTAGGGGTCACATTCTAGGGGTCACATCAGCATTCTAGGGGTCACATCAGCATTCTAGGGGTCACATTCTAGGGGTCACATCAGCATTCTAGGGGTCACATCAGCATTCTAGGGGTCACATCAGCATTATAGGGGTCACATCAGCATTATAGGGGTCACAGCAGCATTCTAGGGGTCACATTATCATTCTAGGGGTCACATCAGCATTCTAGGTTCACATCAGCATTCTAGGGGTCACATCACCATTCTAGGGGTCACATTAGCATTCTAGGGGTCACATCAGCATTCTAGGTTCACATCATCATTCTAGGGGTCACATCAGCCTTCTAGGGGTCACATCAGCATTCTAGGGGTCACATCAGCATTCTAGGGGTCACAGCATTCTAGGGGTCACATCATCATTCTAGGGGTCACATCAGCATTCTAGGTTCACATCAGCATTCTAGGGGTCACATCAGCATTCTAGGGGTCACATTCTAGGGGTCACATCAGCATTCTAGGGGTCACATCCACATTCTAGCGGTCACATCAGCATTCTAGGGGTCACATCAGCATTCTAGGGGTCACATCAGCATTCTAGGGCTCACATCAGCATTATAGGGGTCACATCAGCATTCTAGGGGTCACATCAGCATTCTAGGGGTCACATTCTAGGGGTCACATCAGCATTCTAGGGTCACATTATCATTCTAGGGGTCACATCAGCATTCTAGGTTCACATCAGCATTCTAGGGGTCACATCACAATTCTAGGGGTCACATTAGCATTCTAGGGGTCACATCAGCATTCTAGGTTCACATCATCATTCTAGGGGTCACATCAGCCTTCTAGGGGTCACATCAGCATTCTAGGGGTCACAGCATTCTAGGGGTCAAATCATCATTCTAGGGGTCACATCAGCATTCTAGGTTCACATCAGCATTCTAGGGGTCACATCAGCATTCTAGGGGTCACATTCTAGGGGTCACATCAGCATTCTAGGGGTCACATCCACATTCTAGCGGTCACATCAGCATTCTAGGGGTCACATCAGCATTCTAGGGCTCACATTCTAGGGGACACATTATCATTCTAGGGGTCACATTCTAGGGGTCACATCAGCATTCTAGGGGTCACATCAGCATTCTAGGGGTCACATCATCATTCTAGGGGTCACATCAGCATTCTAGGGGTCACATCAGCATTCTAGGGGTCACATTATCATTCTAGGGGTCACATTATCATTCTAGGGGTCACATCATCATTCTAGGGGTCACATCAGCATTCTAGGGGTCACATCAGCATTCTAGGGGTCACATTCTAGGGGTCACATCAGCATTCTAGGTGTCACATTATCATTCTAGGGGTCACATCAGCATTCTAGGTTCACATCATCATTCTAGGGGTCACATCAGCATTCTAGGGGTCACATCATCATTCTAGGGGTCACATCAGTATTCTAGGGGTCACATCAGCATTCTAGGGGTCACATTATCATTCTAGGGGTCACATTATCATTCTAGGGGTCACATCAGTATTCTAGGGGTCACATCAGCATTCTAGGGGTCACATCAGCATTCTAGGGGTCACAGCATTCTAGGGGTCAAATCATCATTCTAGGGGTCACATCAGCATTCTAGGTTCACATCAGCATTCTAGGGGTCACATCAGCATTCTAGGGGTCACATTCTAGGGGTCACATCAGCATTCTAGGGGTCACATCCACATTCTAGCGGTCACATCAGCATTCTAGGGGTCACATCAGCATTCTAGGGCTCACATTCTAGGGGACACATTATCATTCTAGGGGTCACATTCTAGGGGTCACATCAGCATTCTAGGGGTCACATCAGCATTCTAGGGGTCACATCATCATTCTAGGGGTCACATCAGCATTCTAGGGGTCACATCAGCATTCTAGGGGTCACATTATCATTCTAGGGGTCACATTATCATTCTAGGGGTCACATCAGTATTATAGGGGTCACATCAGCATTCTAGGGGTCACATCAGCATTCTAGGGGTCACATTCTAGGGGTCACATCAGCATTCTAGGTGTCACATTATCATTCTAGGGGTCACATCAGCATTCTAGGTTCACATCATCATTCTAGGGGTCACATCAGCATTCTAGGGGTCACATCATCATTCTAGGGGTCACATCAGCATTCTAGGGGTCACATCAGCATTCTAGGGGTCACATTCTAGGGGTCACATTATCATTCTAGGGGTCACATTATCATTCTAGTGGTCACATCAGTATTCTAGGGGTCACATCAGTATTCTAGGGGTCACATCAGTATTCTAGGGGTCACATCAGCGTTCTGATGATGCGTTCTGATGATGTGTGCTGATGATGCGTGCTGATGATGCGTGCTGATGATGCGTGCTCCCTCCTGGAGAATCCAGACCTGCACTTCTTACCGCTGGCCATTAGAGAGCAGAATTAAATTGATTAAACAAGTCAAGCTGTTATTTCTTTATTTTGTTGTGTTATATACAGGGACATTTCCTCCTGTAAGATATTTGAAGGAAGAAAGCTTTTACTCTCTAGAAAATAGACATCACATTAAACCTTTTTATTGATACTTTATTGTGTGTCACCTGCATTTTGCACTTTATAGGAAAAATGGCTTTGCACATACATTTGATTGATTGATTGACGGTTGTAAGTAACTTACTTGTTCCTGTTTTCTCCCAGGATGCACTCTGTTCTTCTACGAGACGGACGGGCGGTCAGGGATCGACCACAACAGTGTTCCTAAACATGCGGTGTGGGCTGAGAACAGTATCGTCCAGGCCGTACCTGAACACCCCAAGAAGGACTTTGTCTTCTGCCTCAGCAACTCTCTAGGGGACGCATTCCTCTTCCAGGTACGAGGAGCTCCACGTGTGTATCTGTGCACCTCCCACCCTCTTTCTTATTATGCATTGGATCTCAAAGTTGTCTGATGTTCTATCTTAGATGTACAATGTTCTAACCTGCTTGGTCGTTGTTGTATTAGGTGGCTGTATTTCAAGCATGCTGTACTATTAGTGTGCAGTAAAGGACTGCGTAACCCCTTTCTCTGCAATGAAATGCAGCGGTTGTTGACATTAAAGGTGTCTATGACCCGGGAGGTTAGGTCTTTTATTGACTATCCATGACCTCTCCTGTCCATAAACCCCTGACCTCTATCCTCTGTAGACCTGCAGTCAGACGGAGCTGGAGAACTGGATCACCGCCATCCACTCGGCGTGCGCGGCGGCGGTTGCTAGGCAGCATCACCGGGAGGACACGGTGCGTCTGTTGAGGGCGGAGATCAGGAAGCTGGAGCAGAAGATAGACATGGACGAGAAGATGAAGAAGATGGGAGACATGCAGCTGTCTGCTGTGACCGATACCAAGAAGAGAAAGACTATACTGGACCAGGTGAGGGAGGGAGGGAGGGAGGGAGGGAGAGAGGGAGGGAGGGAGGGAGAGAGGGAGGGAGAGAGGGAGAGAGGGGGAGAGGTTTGAGGGAGGGACTAGAAGATGGGGGAAAGAGGATGACACCAAGAAGTGTCATTGACACCAAGAAGAGACAGAGCAGGATGGATCAGGTAGTTAGGGGCCTAGACCCTGTTTGTAGAGACTGCGTGTCATGATGATACTAGATATGTGTTGTTATTCAGGTTACTGTTTGTCGAGTGTCATGATGATTCTAGATATGTGTTGTTATTCAGGTTACTGTTTGTTGAGTGTCATGATGATTCTAGATATGTGTTGTTATTCAGGTTACTGTTTGTTGAGTGTCATGATGATTCTAGATATGTGTTGTTATTCAGGTTACTGTTTGTTGTGGGGCCATGGAGACCTTGGCACTGTTTTAGACCCTGACCTATTATTCTCTTAATGAATCCCAAAGTTCATATCGTCCTTAATGGGGCTGTTAATGAAAGTAGGATCAAAAGTTCCTTTGTAGTGTGTCTGAGGTAGTCGCTGGATGGCTCCCTGGTTGGCTGGCTGTCTGCCTGGTTGGCTGACTGGTTGGCTGGCTGGCTGACTGGTTGCCTGGATGTTGGCTGGCTGGCTGGCTGACTGGTTGGCTGGTTGGTTGGCTGGCTGGCTGCCTGGTTAGCTGGTTGGTTGGCTGGCTGGTTGGATGCCTGGTTGGCTGGCTGGTTGGATGCCTGGTTGGCTGGCTGGCTGGCTGACTGGTTGGCTGGTTGGTTGGCTGGCTGGCTGCCTGGTTAGCTGGTTGGTTGGCTGGCTGGTTGGATGCCTGGTTGGCTGGCTGGTTGGATGCCTGGTTGGCTGGCTGGTTGGATGCCTGGTTGGCTGGCTGACTGGTTGCCTGGATGTTGGCTGGCTGGCTGGTTGGCTGCCTGGTTGGCTGGCTGGTTGCCTGGCTGTTGCCTGGTTGGCTGGCTGACTTGTTGACTGGCTGGTTGGCTGACTGGTTGCCTGGCTGTTGACTGGCTGGCTGGCTGACTGGTTGCCTGGCTGTTGACTGGCTGACTGGCTGATTAGTTGACTGGCTGGCTGACTTGTTGACTGGCTGGTTGGTTGACTGGTTGCCTGGCTGTTGACTGGCTGGCTGGCTGACTGGTTGCCTGGCTGTTGACTGACTGGCTGGCTGTCTGCCTATTTGACCCGGGCAGCTTGGCAGCGTCCGGTTACACATTGTGGTGAGCTGAATAGAAGCAGGCCTTGCTCTCTCCCAGTCCCAGGCTGCGTCTCAAATGGCATTCTATTCCCTATGTAGTGCCCATGTAGTGCCCATGTAGTGCCCATGTAGTGCCCATGTAGTGCCCATGTAGTGCCCATGTAGTGCCCATGTAGTGCCCATGTAGTGCCCATAGGGAATAAGATGCCATTTGGGATGCAGCCCCTCTGTACCAGCCCCTCTGTACCAGCCCCTCTGTACCAGCCCATACCTGCCAGAGGTCCTGTATTGTATTGTGACAGCTGTGAGCAGCCGGCCGCATCCCCTAACCAGCCATTAGTCAACTCAGACACATCCCCTAACCAGCCATTAGTCTACTCAGCCATTAGTCTACTCAGCCATTACTCTACTCAGCCATTAGTCTACTCAGCCATTAGTCTACTCAGCCATTAGTCTACTCAGCCATTAGTCTACTCAGCCATTACTCTACTCAGCCATTAGTCTACTCAGCCATTAGTCTACTCAGCCATTAGTACTCACCCCTTAGTCTACTCAGCCATTAGTCTACTCAGCCATTAGTCTACTCGGGCCATTAGTCTACTCAGCCATTAGTCTACTCAGCCATTAGTCTATCAGCCTTTAGTCTACTCAGCCATTAGTCTACTCAGCCATTACTCAAACTCAACCCAATTAGTCTACTCAGCCATTATCTACTCAGCCATTACCATCTACTCAGCCATTATCTACCTCAGCCATTACTCTACTCAAGCCTTTTACTCTACTCAGCTGTTTTCTCTCTGTCCTTTTCTTTCTGCGGCATCTCCTCATATTTAAACTTTTTATTTTCCCGGGTGATGGGGAGCTGGGGTGTTGACAGTGATGGGGAGCTGGGGTGTTAAGACAGTGATGGGGAGCTGGGGTTTGACGGTGTTGGGGTGCTGGGGTGTTTGACAGTGAGGGGGTGTAGACAGTGATGGGGAGCGGGGGTTTGTAGACAGTGATGGGAGGGGGGTGTTGACGGTGTTGGGGTGCTGGGGTGTAGACAGTGATGGGGAGCTGGGGTGTAGACAGTGATGGGGAGCTGGGGTGTTGACGGGTTGGGTGCTGGGGTGTTTGACAGTGATGGGGAGCTGGGGTGTAGACAGTGATGGGGGCTGGGGTGTTTGACGGTGTTTGGGGGTGATGGGGTGTAGACAGTGATGGGGGAGCTGGGGTGTAGACAGTGATGGGGACTGGGGTGTTAGACAGTGATGGGGAGCTGGGGGTGTTGACGGTGGTGGGGTGCTGGGGGTGTTGACAGTGAGTGGGGAGCTGGGGGTGTAGACAGTGATGGGGAGCTGGGGTGTTGACGGTGTTGGGGTGATGGGGTGTAGAAGTGATGGGGAGCTGGGGTGTAAAGACAAGTGATGGGTGATCTGTGGTGTGTTTGACGGTGTTGGGGTGCTGGGGTGTTGTACAGTGATGGGGAGCTGGGGTGTTTGACAGTGATGGGAAGCTGGGGTGTTTGACATTGATGGGGAGCTGGCATGTTGACAGTGTGAGGAGCTTGGGTTGTTTGACAGTAATGGGGAGCTGGGATGTAGACAGTGATGGGGAGCTGGGGGTGTAGACCGTTGATGGGGAGCTGGGGTTGTTGACAGTGATGAGGAGCTGGGGTGGTGACAGTGATGGGGAGCTGGGGTGTTGACCAGTGATGGGGAGCTGGGGTGTAGACAGTGATGGGAGATGGGGTGTTGACAGTGATGGTGGAGCTGGGGTGTAGACAGTGATGAGGAGCTGGGGTGTAGACAGTGATGGGGAGCTGGGGTGTTAGACAGTGATGGGGAGCTGGGGGTGTTTGAACAGTGTGAGGAGGCTAGGGGTGTTGACAGTGATGAGGAGCTGGGGGTGTAGACAGTGATGGGGAGCTGGGGTGTTGGGTAGACGTGATGGGGAGCTGGGGTGTTGACAGTGATGGGGAGCTGGGGTGTAGAAAGTGATGGGGAGCTGGGGGTTGTTGACAGTGATGGGGTTGTAGACAGTGATGGGGGTGCTGGGGTGTAGACAGTGATGGGAGCTGGGGTGTTGACATGGAGGGTGTAGACAGTGATGGGGTGCTGGGGTGTAGACAGTGATGGGGAGCTGGGTGGGTAGACAGTAAATGGGGTGGTAGACAGTGATGGGGAGCTGGGGGTGTTGACAGTGAGGGGGTGTTTGACAGTGATGGGGAGCTGGGGGGGTAGACAGGGGATGGGGTTGTAGACAGTGGAGGAGCTGGGTGTAGACAGTGATGAGGAGCTGGGGGTAGACAGTGATGGGGTGTTGACAGTGAGGGGGAGCTGGGTGTAGACAGTGATGGGGAGCTGGGGTGTTGACAGTGATGGGGAGAGGGGTTTGGTAGAAAGTGTTTGGGGAGCTGGGGGTTGACAGTGATGGGGTGTAAAACAGTGATGGGGTGCTGGGGTGTAGACAGTGATGGGGAGCTGGGGTGTTGACAGTGAGGGGGGTTGTAAGACCAGTGATGGGTGCTGGTTTGTAGACCGTGATGGGGAGCTGGGGGTTTTTTACAGTGATGGGGAGCTGGGGTGGTGACAGTGATGGGGGTAGTGTAGACAGTGATGGGGAGCTGGGGGTGTTGACAGTTGATGGGGAGCTGGGGTGTAGACAGTGATGGGGTGTAGACAGTGATGGGGGAGCTGGGGGGTGTTGACAGTGATGAGGAGCTGGGGTGTAGACAGTGATGAGGAGCTGGGGTGTATGGTAATAGACAGTGATGGGGGTGTTGACAGTGATGGGGAGCTGGGGTGTAGACAGTGATGGGAGCTGGGGTGTAGACAGTGATGAGGAGCTGGGTGTAGACGTGATGAGGAGTGGGGTGTAGACAGTGATGGGGGTGTTGAACAGTGATGAGGAGCTGGGTGTTGACAGTGATGGGAGCTGTGGTGGTAGACACGTGATGGGGAGCTGGGGTGTAGACAGTGATGGGGAGCTGGGGTGTTTAGACAGTGATGGGGAGCTGGGGTGTAGACAGTGATGGGGAGCTGGGTGGTTGACAGTAATGGGGAGCTGGGGTGTTGTTGGGTGTAGACAGTGATGGGGTGTAGACAGTGATGGGGAGCTGGGGTGTTGACAGTGATTGGGGAGCTGGGGTGTAGACAGTGATGGGGAGCTGGGGTGTAGACAGTGATGGGGAGCTGGGGTGTAGACAGTGATGGGGAGCTGGGGTGTAGACAGTGATGGGGTGTTGACAGTGATGAGGAGCTGGGGTGTTGACAGGGATGGGGAGCTGGGGTGTTGACAGTGATGGGGAGCTGGGGGTGTTGACAGTGATGGGGTGTAGACAGTGATGGGAGGCTGGGGTGTAGACAGTGATGGGGAGCTCGGGTGTTGACAGTGATGGGGAGCTGGGGGTGTTGACAGTGATGAGGAGCTGGGGGTTTTGACAGTGATGGGGTGTAGACAGTGATGGGGAGCTGGGGGGTGTTGACAGTGATGGGGTGTAGACAGTGATGGGGGAGCTGGGGTGTTGACAGTGATGGGGTGTGTAACAGTGATGGGGAGCTGGGGTGTTGACAGTGATGAGGAGCTGGGGTGTTGACAGGGATGGGGAGCTGGGGTGTTGACAGTGATGGGGAGCTGGGGTGTTGACAGTGATGGGGTGTAGACATTGATGGGAGGCTGGGGGTGTAGACAGTGATGGGGAGCTGGGGTGTAGACAGTGATGGGGAGCTGGGGTGTTTGACAGTGATGAGGAGCTGGGGTGTTGACAGTGATGGGGTGTAGACAGTGATGGGGAGCTGGGGTGTTGACAGTGATGGGGTGTAGACAGTGATGGGGAGCTGGGGTGTTGACAGTGATGGGGTGTAGACAGTGATGGGGAGCTGGGGTGTTGACAGTGATGGGGAGCTGGGGTGTAGACAGTGATGGGGAGCTGGGGTGTAGACAGTGTTGAGGAGCTGGGGTGTGTATAGCTCTCAATAACTTTAGGCTGACTCTATATTAACGTTTAGAAACGTCAATAATCATCGCTTGGAATATGGCTTTCGAAACATATGACCCTTATCTTTAATCAGCAAATAGAAAAGATATACTTACTGTAGCAGTTAACAGATCCATACAGATATGGGCGCCTCCATCCCATGAAACTACACTTCCTCTGTCCTAGAAACTACACTTCCTCCGTCCCAGAAAACTACACTTCCTGAGTTCCTCTTACACACAGGTGTTCGGTGCGTGATAGACAGCTAATTAGCATAGGTGATCGCCTCTTGTCTTCCATCTGTTTTCCGTAAACAAGCGCTGTAACCTTGAGATATGGCAATGTTGAAACACGTACCCTAACCATATCAAGGTGTATCAATTTAACCTTTTTGTTTTTTGAAAATAATTTATCGCTGATATGAAAGATAAGGTCCTTTATACTTCCAAAACTGTACTGCAAGTGATGCGTGTTAATGTTCAGATTGAGCATCGGGGGCTCTTAACAAAACTCCCCCCGTACAGAAGACGCCTTCGTCCAATGACTCTTATGTGTAATGTAAAGGAACTGAAAGCCATGATCAAACGGCGAGGGTGTGCAGACAGTGATGGGGCTTCTGTTTTAAACTACTCGTGGGCCACGAGGTCTCGGTTTGATATCAAACAACCTTGTTTGGTCATGTTACCTGGCTAGCTAGCTAACAACATGGTACCCCTTGGCTAGGCACACATTTGGATGGCACAGGAAACACAGAAAAGGGATAGATGGCCTGCTCAAAGAGATGCTTCAAAGGTAGGATGCATATGCCTCATCAATGTCATTCTAAACTCAATCTGGAGAAAAAAAATCACATTGTTCTGGTGTTCCTTAAATTCTGTTTGGTGCCTAACTTTTGAGGTGTGTGTGTGTGAGAGAGAGAGAGAGAAAAAAAGAGAGTACTATGAGTGTGTGTGAGAGAAAGTAGATCTGTGTGTGTGTGGGAGAGGGTCTAAGTGAGTGACTGAGAGGGTGGGTGGGAGAGTCCTAAGTGAGTGACTGAGAGGGTGGGTGGGAGAGGGTCTAAGTGAGTGACTGAGAGGGGTGGGTGGGAGAGTTCCTAAGTGAGTGACTGAGAGGGTGGGTGGGGAGAGGGTCTAAGTGAGTGACTGAGAGGGTGGGTGGGAGTGTGTGGGAGAGGAAGGGAGAGTGTGTAGGCAGTGTGTAAAGTTGTCTGAAGAGTAGGCCACAAAAGGCCTGGTGTGTCTTCCCTTTACTGCCACAGACAAAATACACTATACAGTTGAAATCTGAAGTTTACATACACCTTAGCCAAATACATTTAAACTTAGTTTTTCACAATTTCTATCATTTAATCCTAGTAAACATTCACTGTCTTAGGTCAGTTAGGATCACCACTTTATTTTAAGAATGTAAAATGTCAGAATAATATTAGAGAGAATGATTTATTTCAGCTTTTATTTCTTTCATCACATTCCCAGTGGGTCAGAAGTTTACATACACTCAATTAGTATTTGGTAGCATTGCCTTTAAATTGTTTAACTTGGGTCAAACGTTTCGGGTAGCCTTCCACAAGCTTCCCACAATAAGTTGGGTGAATTTTGGCCCATTCCTTCTGACAGAGCTGGTGTAACTGAGTCAGGTTTTGTAGGCCTCCTTGCTCGCACATGCTTTTTCAGTTCTGCCCACACATTTTCTGTAGGATTGAGGTCAGGGCTTTGTGATGGCCACTCCAATACCTTGACTTTGTTATCCTTAAGCCATTTTGCCACAACTTTGTAAGTATGCTTGGGGACATTGTCCATTTGGAAGACCCATGTTGCGACCAAGCTTTAACTTCCTGACTGATGTCTTGAGATTGTTGCTTCAATATATCCACATAATTTTCCTTCCTCATGATGCCATCTATTTTGTGAAGTGCACCAGTCCCTCCTGCAGCAAAGCACCCCCACAGCATGATGCTGCCACCCCTGTGCTTCACGGTTGGGATGGTGTTCTTTCGGCTTGCAAGCACCCCCTTTTTCCTCCAAACATAACAATGGTCATTATGGCCAAACAGTTCTATTTTTGTTTCATCAGACCAGAGGACATTTCTCCAAAAAGTACGATCTTTGTCCCCATGTGCAGTTGCAAACCGTAATCTGTATTTTTTATGGCGGTTTTGGAGCAGTGGCTTCTTCCTTGCTGAGCGGCCTTTCAGGTTATGTCGATATAGGACTCGTTTTACTGTAGATATAGATAATTTTGTACCTGTTTTCCTCCAGCATCTTCACAAGGTCCTTTGCTGTTGTTGCTGGGATTGATTTGCACTTTTCGCACCAAAGTACGTTAATCTCTAGGAGACAGAACGCGTCTCCTTCCTGAGCGGTATGATGGCTGCGTGGGTCCCATGGTATTTATACTTGCATACTATTGTTTGTAACAGATGAATGTGGTACCTTCAGGCGTTTTGGAAATTGCTCCCAATGATAAACCAGACTTGTGGAGGTCTACCATTTTTTTTCCTTTTGATTTTCCCATGATGTCAAGCAAAGAGGCACTGAGTTTGAAGGTAGGCCTTGAAATACATCCACAGGTACACCTCCAATTGACTCAAATTATGTAAATTAGCCTATCAGAAGCTTCTAAAGCCATGACATCATGTTCTGCAATTTTCCAAGCTGTTTAAAGCTACAGTCAATTTAGTGTATGTAAACTTCTGACCCACTGGAATTGTGATACAGTGAATTATAAGTGAAATAATCTGTCTGTAAACAATTGTTGGAAAAATTACTTGTGTCATCCACAAAGTAGATGTCCTAACCGACTTGCCAAATTTGTGGAGTGGTTGAAAAACTGTGGGGTCATATTAATTTGTAGCTCAAACGGTTCGGACGAAGTTGGCACATCAGCATTACCAACGGGTCATGTGACACTTGTGGGGGTCGTAGAGCAAAACGGAGAACACCATCGTGTTCGTGAGAGTCTCATCTTTCCATAGAGTGGTCATAACGCTACAGACGTTTTTTGTGAGAAGACCGATTTCCGGGATGTCTCATGGTCTGACAAACACCGCTGTAGCTCGGACACCGACATAGGTGGATACGGTGGATTGAGATGCAGCCCATGCAAAAAAATAACTATCTCTAGCTTAAACCAACAGATATTGATGGGGATTTTTTTGTTATGTTACTTAGATTGTCACACGGGTGGCGTCAATAGACTCTTAAGGATTAAAGTGACCAGTGTTCAATGACTCTTAGGTACCAGTGGAGGCTGCTGAGGGGAGGACGGCTCATAATAATGTCTGGAACGGCGCTAATGGATTGGCATCAAACACATGTTTGATGCATTTGATACCATTCCACTTATTCCGCTCCAGCCGTTACCACCAGCCCATCCTCCCCAATGAAGTTGCCACCAACCTCCTGTTCTCTGTACATAAGGCAAAGCAATCTTTAAGGTGGCAGGGTAGAGTACTGGATTGGTAGCCGGATAGTAACAGTGACTAAGGTTCAGGGCAGGGTAGTGGGCGGAGGGCCGGCTAGTGGTGACCGTTTTTAACAGTCTGATGGCCTGGAGATAGAAGCTATCAGTCCTCTCATCCCAGCTTTATAGCATCTGTACTGTCTCCTCCTCCTCCTAGGTGGTAGTGGGGTGAACAGGCCGTGGCTCGGGTGGCTGAGGCAGCGTGCCTCCATGATGCGTTGGTCTGACCGCCGCCACCCTCTGGAGAACCCTGCGGTTGCGGAACGGTGCAATTGCCGTACCAGGCGGTGATACAGCCTGACAGGGTGCATCTGTAGAAGTTTGTGAGGGTCTTAGGGGCCAAGCCGACTTTGTTCAGCCTGATGAGGCTCTGTTGCAACTTGTTTCACCACACAGGCTGTGTGAAGGGACCATTTCAGGTCCTCAGTGATGTTCACGCCAAGGAACTTTTGAAGCTTTTTGACCCTCACCACTCCGTCGGCTCCTCTGCTGTCTCCTGTAGTCCACCATCAGCTCCTTTGTTTTGTTGAGGTGGAGGTTATTTTTCACAGGGCTGGTGACGTGTTACCACTCTCAAATGCATAGACTGTCCCATCCATGAGAAAAATGAATGTACCAATCCCAGATTGCCCCTTTTTTTAAACTGGGTTTGTTGTGTTCCTTTGTGTTTCTAGATCTTCCTGTGGGAGCAGAACTTGGAACAGTTCCACATGGGTCTGTTCCGGTTCCCGCTGTTACCCATGTCCCAGTCTGCAGGGAGGGGAGCTGCCCACCCCCAAACGCCTGCTATCCTTCGCCTCCAGACCCACCAAGCTGGGCCATGAGACGCCTCGGAATCTTCTCTGTGTCGTCCTTTCATGCACTGGTGAGTTTACACACACACACACACACACACCACACACACACACCCACACACACCCACACAACACCAACACACACACAGACACCACACACACACACACCACACACACACCACACACCGACACACACCACACACCACACACACACAAACACACACCCATCACATTACACACACACACACACCCAACACACACACACACACACCACACAACCATACCACACACATATCACACATCACATCAACCATACACACACACACACACACACACACAACACACACACACACAACACCCACACAACACACACCACACACACACACACAAAAGTCTTACTTCACACAAAACACACATCCAAAATCCCTCACCAAACCCCCACCCCCAAACCACACACACACCACAAACCAAAACACCCTCACATCCAAAAAACAAACACCTCCTATCCATTTGCCGTTCCAGCAAAACTGGGACAAACTGTTATTTTTTCTCCAAAATATGAGCGTGACGTTCCCAACTCCGTTCGCCCATGTTACCATCTGTTGGTCCTACCACTGACTGGGGAATGTCCTGCAATACATAGTAAACACAAGGCCACTCCAAACATGTTAGTTCAGATGGGGTTGCTATTTTGCGCAGTCTATTTGAGAGCTATCACCTGTTATTGATTGCTCTGCCACAACGCTAGCCTCCTCCACATAGCTGAGGTTGTTTGTTGCAGAATCGTAGGTAGTGCTAGAGGACAATATTTATTTGGTTCGGAGTTGGAACGTTCAGCAGAGCAGTGTGGTGCGTTGGCTGATCAATAGAATCCTCGTTGCCAGACGCCCACATGGCCAGTGTCCCAAATGGCACCACCCTATTCCATTTATAGTGCACTACGTTTGACCAGGGCTCTAGTCAAAAATAGTGCACTATAAAGTGAATAGGGTGCCATTTGGGATGCAGTCCTGTTCTCTCAGAGCAGGTGGGAGTCCAGGACTCAGAGAGACAGCAGGATGGAAGGAGTAACAACCTAAACACATATTAAATAACAACACTTTCCCACAAAACGCATCCTGTTTCACTCGACTTTCTGCTTTCATCTCTCTCTCTCTCTCTCTCTCTCTCAATTCATCGGGGCAATGGACTCCACAAGGTGTCGAAATCGTTCCACAGTGATGCTGGCCCATTTGGACTCCACTGGCCTTTCCCACAGTTTTGATCAGTTGCCGCATTCACCCTCAGAAGGGGCACCACATATCACGATCCAATGTCCTCAACTCCGTCTTAAGTCCTTAAATTACCCTGTCCTTCTCTCGCTTCATCTAGCAGCTGATTTGGAAGTGACATCAATAAGGGATCATATCTTCACCTGGATTTCACCTGGTCAGTCTAATTTATGGAAAGAGCAGGTCTTTATTGTTTTTTGTACACTCATCTATATCACCACTAGATTCATCCATCCTGGTCTAATATAAAACCACTGACCATCCTCCTGGTCTATAGAACCACTAACGTCCTCCCTAGTCATATAACCACTTAGCCATCCCTCTGGTCTATATCCACCTAGACCATCCCTCCTGGTCCCTATATAACCACTAGACCATCCTCCTGGTCCTATATAACCACTCACTAGACCATCCTCCTGGTCTATATAAACCACTTAGAACCATCTCCTCGTCCTTGTCTATATAACCACTAACCATCTCCCTGGTCCTTATAACCACTAGACATCCTCCTGGTCTATAATAACCACTAGACCATCCCCTCCTGGGTCTATATAACCACTGACCATCCTCTAGTCCCCTATATAAACCACTAGACCAATCCCTCCTAGTCTAATAACCACTAGACATCCTCCTGGTCATATAACCACTAGACCATCTCTGGTCTATTAACCACTAGACCATCCTCCTGGTCTATATAACCACTAGACCATCCTCCTGGTCTATATAACAACTAGACCATCCTCCTGGTCTATAAAACCACAGACATCCTCACAATCCTCCTGGTCTATATAACCACTAGACCACCCCTGGTCTCTATATAACCACTGACCATCCTACCATCTCCTGGTCTATATAACCACTAACCATCCTCCTGGTCTATATAACCCTAGACCATCCTCCTGGTCTATATAACCACTAGACATCCTCCTGGTCTATATAACCACTAGACCATCCTCCTGGTCTATATAACCACTAGACCTCCTCCTGGTCTATAACCACTGACCATCCTCCAGTCTATACCACTAGACCATCCCCCTAGTCTATATAACCACTAGACCATCCTCCTGGTCTATATAACCACTAGACCATCCTCCTAGTCTATATAACCACTAGACCATCCTCACCATCCTCCTGGTCTATATAACCACTAGACCATCCTCCTGGTCTATATAACCACTAGACCATCCTCCTGGTCTATATAACCACTAGACCATCCTCCTGGTCTATATAACCACTAGACCATCCTCCTAGTCCTATATAACCATAGACCATCCTCCTGGTCTATATAACCACTAGACCATCCTCCTGGTCTATTAACCACTAGACCATCCTCCTGGTCTATATAACCACCTAGACCATCCTCCTGGTCTATATAACCACTAGACCATCCTCCTGGTCTATATAACCACTAGACCATCCTCCTGGTCTATATACACTAGACCATCCTCCCTGGTCTATTAACCACTAACCCTCCCTGGTCTATATAACCACTAGACCATCCTCACCATCCTCCCTGGTCTATATAACCACTAGACCATCCTCCAAACCATCCTCCTGGTCTATATAACCACTAGACCATCCTCCTGGTCTATATAACCACTAGACCATCCTCACCATCCTCCTGGTCTATATAACCACTAGACCATCCTCCTAGTCTATATAACCACTAGCCATCCTCCTGGTCTATATAACCCACTAGACCATCCTCCTTGGTCTATATAACCACTAACCATCCTCCTGGTCTATATAACCACTAGACCATCCTCCTGGTCTATATAACCACTAGACCATCCTCCTAGTCTATATAACCACTAGACCATCCTCCTGGTCTATATAACCACTAACGACATCCTCACCATCCTCCTGGTCTATATAACCACTAGAACCATCCTCCTGGTCTATATAACCACTAGACCATCCTCCTGGTCTAATAACCACAGTACCATCCTCCTAGTCTATTAACCACTAGACCATCCTCCTGGTCCTATATAACCACTAGACCATCCCTACTGGTCTATATACCACTAGACCATCCTCCTGGTCTATATAACCACTAGACCATCCTCCTGGTCTATATAACCACTAGACCATCCTCCTAGTCCTATATAACCACTAGACCATCCTCCTGGTCTATATAACCACTAGACCATCCTCCTGGTCTATTAACCACTAGAACCATCCTCCTGGTCTATATAACCACTAGACCATCCTCCTGGTCTATATAACCACTAGACCATCCTCCTGGTCTATATAACCACTAGACCATCCTCCTGGTCTATATAACCACTAGACCATCCTCCTGGTCTATATAACCACTAGACCATCCTCACCATCCTCCTGGTCTATATAACCACTAGACCATCCTCACCATCCTCCTGGTCTATATAACCCACTAGACCATCCTCCTGGTCCTATATAACCACTAGACCATTCTCACCATCTCCTGGTCTATATAACCACTAGACCATCCTCCTAGTCTATATAACCACTAGACCATCCTCACCATCCTCCTGGTCTATATAACCACTAGACCATCCTCCTGGTCTATATAACCACTAGACCATTCTCACCATCCTCCTGGTCTATATAAACCACTAGACCTTCCTCCTGGTCTATATAACCACTAGACCATCCTCCTGGTCTATATAACCACTAGACCATCCTCCTGGTCTATATAACCACTAGACCATCCTCCTGGTCTATATAACCACTAGACCATCCTCCTGGTCTATATAACCACTAGACCATCCTCCTAGTCTATATAACCACTAGACCATCCTCCTGGTCTATATAACCACTAGACCATCCTCCTGGTCTATATAACCACTAGACCATCCTCCTGGTCTATATAACCACTAGACCATCCTCCTGGTCTATATAACCACTAGACCATCCTCCTGGTCTATTAACCACTAGACCATCCTCCTAGTCTATATAACCACTAGACCATCCTCCTAGTCTATATAACCACTAGACCATCCTCCTGGTCTATATAACCACTAGACCATCCTCCTGGTCTATATAACCACTAGACCATCCTCCTAGTCTATATAACCACTAGACCATCCTCCTGGTCTATATAACCACTAGACCATCCTCCTGGTCTATATAACCACTAGACCATCCTCCTGGTCTATATAACCACTAGACCATCCTCCTGGTCTATATAACCACTAGACCATCCTCCTGGTCTATATAACCACTAGACCATCCTCCTGGTCTATATAACCACTAGACCATCCTCCTGGTCTATATAACCACTAGACCATCCTCCTGGTCTATATAACCACTAGACCATCCTCCTGGTCTATATAACCACTAGACCATCCTCCTGGTCTATATAACCACTAGACCATCCTCCTAGTCTATATAACCACTAGACCATCCTCACCATCCTCCTGGTCTATATAACCACTAGACCATCCTCACCATCCTCCTGGTCTATATAACCACTAGACCATCCTCCTGGTCTATATAACCACTAGACCATCCTCCTGGTCTATATAACCACTAGACCATCCTCCTGGTCTATATAACCACTAGACCATCCTCCTGGTCTATATAACCACTAGACCATCTTCCTGGTCTATATAACCACTAGACCATCCTCCTGGTCTATATAACCACTAGACCATCCTCACCATCCTCCTGGTCTATATAACCACTAGACCATCCTCCTGGTCTATATAACCACTAGACCATCCTCACCATCCTCCTGGTCTATATAACCACTAGACCATCCTCCTGGTCTATATAACCACTAGACCATCCTCCTGGTCTATATAACCCCTAGACCATCCTCCTTGTCTATATAACCACTAGACCATCCTCCTGGTCTATATAACCACTAGACCATCCTCCTGGTCTATATAACCACTAGACCATCCTCCTGGTCTATATAACCACTAGACCATCCTCACCATCCTCCTGGTCTATATAACCACTAGACCATCCTCCTGGTCTATATAACCACTAGACCATCCTCCTGGTCTATATAACCACTAGACCATCCTCCTGGTCTATATAACCACTAGACCATCCTCCTGGTCTATATAACCACTAGACCATCCTCCTGGTCTATATAACCACTAGACCATCCTCCTAGTCTATATAACCACTAGACCATCCTCCTGGTCTATATAACCACTAGACCATCCTCCTGGTCTATATAACCATTAGACCATCCTCACCATCCTCCTGGTCTATATAACCACTAGACCATCCTCCTGGTCTATAGAACCACTAGACCATCCTCCTAGTCTATATAACCACTAGACCATCCTCCTAGTCTATATAACCACTAGACCATCCTCCTGGTCTATATAACCACTAGACCATCCTCCTGGTCTATATAACCACTAGACCATCCTCCTGGTCTATATAACCACTAGACCATCCCCCTAGTCTATATAACCACTAGACCATCCTCCTGGTCTATATAACCACTAGACCATCCTCCTGGTCTATATAACCATTAGACCATCCTCCTGGTCTATATCAATCAATCAATCAATTTTATTTTATATAGCCCTTCTTACATCAGCTAATATCTCGAAGTGCTGTACAGAAACCCAGCCTAAAACCCCAAACAGCTAGTAATGCAGGTGTAGAAGCACGGTGGCTAGGAAAAACTCCCTAGAAAGGCGAAAACCTAGGAAGAAACCTAGAGAGGAACCAGGCTATGAGGGGTGGCCAGTCCTCTTCTGGCTGTGCCGGGTGGAGATTATAACAGAACCATGCCAAGATGTTCAAAAATGTTCATAAGTGACAAGCATGGTCAAATAATAATCAGGAATAAATCTCAGTTGGCTTTTCATAGCCGATCATTAAGAGTTGAAAACAGCAGGTCTGGGACAGGTAGGGGTTCCATAACCGCAGGCAGAACAGTTGAAACTGGAATAGCAGCAAGGCCAGGCGGACTGGGGACAGCAAGGAGTCACCACGGCCGGTAGTCCCGACGTATGGTCCTAGGGCTCAGGTCTCTCAGTTGGCTTTTCATAGCCGATCATTAAGAGTTGAAAACAGCAGGTCTGGGACAGGTAGGGGTTTCGTAGCCGCAGGCAGAACAGTTGAAACTGGAATAGCAGCAAGGCCAGGCGGACTGGGGACAGCAAGGTGTCATCATGCCCGGTAGTCCTGACGTATGGTCCTAGGGCTCAGGTTCTCAGAGAGAAAGAGAGAACGAGAGAATTAGAGAGAGCATACTTAAATTCACACAGGACACTGGATAAGACAGGAGAAGTACTCCAGGTATAACCAACTAACCCCAGCCCCCCGACACATAAACTACTGCAGCATAAATACTGGAGGCTGAGACAGGAGCGGTCCGGAGACACTGTGGCCCCATCCTCCTGGTCTATATAACCACTAGACCATCCTCCTGGTCTATATAACCACTAGACCATCCTCCTGGTCTATATAACCACTAGACCATCCTCCTGGTCTATATAACCACTAGACCATCCTCCTGGTCTATATAACCACTAGACCATCCTCCTGGTCTATATAACCACTAGACCATCCTCCTGGTCTATATAACCACTAGACCATCCTCACCATCCTCCTGGTCTATATAACCACTAGACCATCCTCCTGGTCTATATAACCACTAGACCATCCTCCTGGTCTATATAACCACTAGACCATCCTCCTGGTCTATATAACCACTAGACCATCCTCCTGGTCTATATAACCACTAGACCATCCTACTGGTCTATATAACCACTAGACCATCCTCCTGGTCTATATAACCACTAGACCATCCTCCTGGTCTATATAACCACTAGACCATCCTCCTAGTCTATATAACCACTAGACCATCCTCCTGGTCTATATAACCACTAGACCATCCTCCTGGTCTATATAACCACTAGACCATTCTCCTAGTCTATATAACCACTAGACCATCCTCCTGGTCTATATAACCACTAGACCATCCTCCTGGTCGATATAACCACTCCATGGTTTCTAATCAGCTGTGTGTCAGATACTCCTCTAATGATGCTGTGTCTGTCTCTCTGTGTCTGTCTCTCTCTCTCTCTCTCTGTGTCGCTCTCTCTCTCTGTGTCTCTCTCTCTCTCTGTTTCTCTCTTTCTCTCTCTGTGTCTCTCTCTCTCTCTGTCTCTCTCTGTCTCTCTCTGTCTCTCTCTGTCTCTCTCTCCTCTCTCTCCTCTCTCTGTTTCTCTCTTTCCTCTCTCTTTCTCTCTCTCCTCTCTCTGTCTCTCTCTGTTTCTCTCTTTCTCTCTCTGTTTCTCTTTCTCTCTCTTTCTCTCTCTCCTCTCTCTGTCTCTCTCTGTCTCTCTCTCCTCTCTCTCCTCTCTCTGTCTCTCTGTGATCTAGGTGGCAGCCCGTACAGAGAGCGGGGTGAGGAGACGTACCCAGGCCATGTCTCGTTCCTCCTCATCCAAACGTAAGAGCAGGTTCTCCTCTCTGTGGGTCCTGGACACTACCTCCAAGAAGAAGACCAAAGCCCATCCCACCATCAACCAGGTACATGTTTTTATGATATGTCCACATTAGGACTGTTTAAACTACAGCAGTTCTATAGAGATGAAACAGAACGTTACTCTAGAACTGCCACTTACATCATTACATGCAACTTCTTTGCAAAGCCATTTTTGGGTTCTATATTGATTTGTTTTTTCTCCCGCAGGTCTTTGCTGTTGGTGAGGAGCCAGTGAAAAAGCCTCTGGACGGGATCTATGATGTGGACACTGCCAGGGAGAGCGTGGTGAGTAGGCAGTCAGGTACCATTCATCCTCCTAGCAGATAACTGACACTGGGGCATCAGTCAAAGGACAGATTGAACTCCCATTTTCAAAATCTTTAGGGTGGTAGGTATATATACGCTATTTACAGTGTGTTTGTTTCCTAGAAGAGTGAAGACGAGCCTTCCTCTGGTCAACACAGACCGTGACATGTAGGGTTAGAGTAAGACAGGTTAGTCAGGTATGATCTCTGTATCTATCTCTCCAGAAGAGTGCTGGTGGAACGGTGGAGAGCCTTCCTCAGGTCGACTCAGACAGTCACATGACAGACAGTGATATCTGGGTGCCTGACCACCTGACCCCGTCCTGGGTGTGTCTTCCCAACGACCAGCCTGTCCTCGCCATCATCCAGCCTGGAGAGTCCGCTCTGGACGCACTGGAGACCATCTGCAAGGTAACTACCGCCTTAACCATCCTACACGTACACACGCTGGAGATCATCTGCAAGGTAACTACCGCCTTAACTAACCTACACGTACACACGCTGGAGACCATCTGCAAGGTAACTACCACCTTAACTAACCTACACGTACACACGCTGGAGATCATCTGCAAGGTAACTACCGCCTTAACTAACCTACAGTACTTACAGCAAAACTGTTCTGAAATGAAATGGCCATATTTTCACTAATAGGTTGTTATTATTAAAGATGGTTTAAAATGTGTAAAGCTTCAACACAGTTTTCAGTAAGTGTTTATCAACTTGTTTGATGACAGACACACTGAAATGTGAAATACTCTGTTGATTCTTCTAATGCCCTCAGTGAGGCTGCGTCCCCATTCTGTTGATATTTCTAATGCCCTCAGTGAGGCTGCGTCCCCATTCTGTTGATATTTCTAATGCCCTCAGTGAGGCTGCGTCCCCATTCTGTTGATATTTCTAATGCCCTCAGTGAGGCTGCGTCCCCATTCTGTTGATATATCTAATGCCCTCAGTGAGGCTGCGTCCCCATTCTGTTGATATTTCTAATGCCCTCAGTGAGGCTGCGTCCCCATTCTGTTGATATATCTAATGCCCTCAGTGAGGCTGCGTCCCCATTCTGTTGATATATCTAATGCCCTCTGTGAGGCTGCGTCCCCATTCTGTTGATATATCTAATGCCCTCTGTGAGGCTGCGTCCCCATTCTGTTGATATATCTAATGCCCTCTGTGAGGCTGCGTCCCCATTCTGTTGATATTTCTAATGCCCTCTGTGAGGCTGCGTCCCCATTCTGTTGATATATCTAATGCCCTCAGTGAGGCTGCGTCCCCATTCACTTGCACACTATCAGTCATGGATCTAACAACGTTGGAAGCTCCCTCTAGCCAATGATTACACCAATCCATAAAGTGTTCAAGTGCACACTTTGTGAAAAGGTTGGAGAATTGAGATGCAGCCCGACCCTGTACCAATCCTCTTTCTGACCTCTCTTCTAAACTCCTCACTCTGAATCTTGACTAAACTGTGTTTGTGTGTGTGTGTGTGTGTGTGTGTGTGTGTGTGTGTGTGTGTGTGTGTGTCCTCTACTTAACTCCACAGGCCCACCAGCTGGATTCCACCAAACATTACATCCGCCTTAAGTTCCTCCTGGAGAACCGAGTCCAGTTCTACATCCCTAAGCCTGAAGAGCACCTGTGTGACTTGGTATGTTTCTGATTTTCTCCTCACAGATTATCTCCTGTCACAGTCTTAGCATCCCACTGAGATCACACACACACACACACACACACACACACACACACACACACCAGCGTATAAATAAATTAGGCTCACTCCTCGTCGTATTCCATTCCTGCTCTTTGTGTAATAAGACATTCATGTTCCTTCCATCTCTCTTCATCTCTCTCTCTCTCTCTCGCTCTCTCGCTCTCTCTCTCTCTCTTGATCTCTCTTTCTCCATCTCTCCTTTTCTCTCTCCATCTCCTTCTCTCTTCATCTCTCCTCTCTCTCCATCTCTCCTTTTCTCTCTCCATCTCTCCTTCTCTCTCCATCTCTTCTCTCTCTCCATCTCTCCTCTCTCTCCTTCTCTCTCTTCATCTCTCCTCTCTCTCCATCTCTCCTTCTCTCTCTCCTTCTCTCTCTTCATCTCTCCTCTTTCTCTTGATCTCTCTTTCTCTCTCCATCTCTCCTTTTCTCTCTCCATCTCTCCTTCTCTCTCTCTCTCTCTCCTTCATCTCTCCACAGCTTTATAAAGAGATAGAGCTGGGCTCCAAAATAACTAAAGTCATCCAGTTCGACAGGGATGAATCCTGTATGATTGGTTACGGTAAGGATGAATCCTGTATGATTGGTTAGGGTTAGGCACCCTATTCCCTATATAGTGCACTACTTTTGACCAGAGCCCTTTGGGACCTGGTTAAAAGTAGTACACTTCACTATAAAGACAATGGGGTGGCATTTGGGACGCAGACAATGTCACATATATCCACATTCACAGATCATTTGACTTGCTAAGAATGCAATTCTGAAGCCACTCCACTTTTAATTACTATCATGTTGTAGTATACAGAGTGCATATTTCCACCAGTGTGTGTTGAGAGAATACTTCCACTAGCGGTTGTGTTGTGATGTATCCTGTTATTGACTTCTAGTCACATCTCAGATTACCTGTATTTCTTAGACTGATCCCTGTCAGGGCAGAGAAAATAAATCCCAGGTGATTTAGTGATGTGCTTTCAATAATGAAATGTTTCTCCTCTCTCTCTCCTCTCTCCTCTCTCTCTCTCTCTCTCTCCTCCCTCTCTCCCCCCTCCCTCCCTCCCCTCCCGCCCGCCCTCCCCTCCCCGCCCCTCCCCCTCCCCTCCCTCCCTCCCCTCCCGCCCTCCCCCGCCCTCCCCTCCCTCCCCTCCCTCCCTCCCTCCCTCCCTCCCGCCTCTCCTCCAGGGTTCTCTATCTCAGTGGTGGAGGAGGATTCGGTGCAGCAGCTCTACATAACCGACGTGAAGGCGGGAGGATTAGCCTTCGCTAGAGGTTCATTACCACACATCCATCAAATCAGTTTCCACACATCCATCAAATCAGTTTCCATCTACACTCCCATCTATCTGTATCTGAGAATATAATAGACACAGAACAGAGACAAGACAGAGAGGGCAGGGAGTGGGAAGATATCATACGATTAGTTTCATCATCAGCCATCTCAATACAATCTCCACTGAAAAGTACAATCACATAATTACTGCAGTTGATGAGACATTCATAAAACTGTGTGTGTGTGTGTCAGGGGAATACTCTCTCCAGTGTTAATGTTGAGGAGGTCAATATGGGGGGTTGTGAAGGATTTATTTTTAGAAATGAAATGCATGAATGCTGCATATTAATGCCTCATTTGATAAGGGTTTAGGGGACTAAAGAAAACAGCCATCCAACTGATTAGCATAACAATCCGCAGGGCTACATGGCTGAATATGACAACACACTGATAAGTGTTTTGATGGACATGTTTATAATTTGAAGAGACAGCCTTGAAAATGTTCATCTTGTCTTAGTGTCATAAATAATCCTTGGTTCCTGCCTGTGCTTGGTATAGATATGAGGGGGGGGGGGGGCACATGACCTCCACCTTAGGACCACCTTAGGACCATCTGGCAGAACGCCCAGAATATGTTCTATAAGTTAAGCGCGCTGATAGTAAAGAATGATTCATTTAAGATTGACTTTGAGTGTCCCTGTGTAGAATTTCCATGACCGTGTCTTTGTCCCAAACTGCACCCTATTCCCTACGTAGTGCACTACTTTTGACCAGAGCCTATAGGGCCCTATATAGGGAATAGGGTGCCATTTGGGACACAAGCACAGTCATATCTCTGTAGAATGTATCAGTGTGGCGGTGTGCCGATAAGGATCCATACTGCAGATTAGAGCTTGCAGCAAGCCATAGAGGATCCATACTGCAGATTAGAGTTTGCAGCAAGCCATAGAGGACAGCTGTGGTTCCTCAGTGGATGACATTTCTCAGGCCACATAGAAAGAAAAGTGGGTCAGGCCTGTGGAGGGAGGGAGGGAGGGAGGGAGTTTGTTTAGTTTTGTTCAGCTCATACAATACATCTCAGATGAGCATGTATGAATTCACACTAATACACTATGTTGGTCCTCCAGGTCTGAATGCGGGCGATGAGATCTTGCAGCTGAATGGGAAGGACTCGTGCAGTCTGAACTTCTCAGATATGAAGGAGGCGTTCTCCCAGGCCTCCCTGTCCCTGACCGTCAACACTCTGCCCTCTACAGACCGACGCCAGATCTGTTTCCCCCGCCCCCCCGACCCCTTTTGACCACAGGGGACCTCTATACTGGGAAAAAGGGGAAAGGGGGTTAAAAGACCCCAATTTTTTAAGAGGGTGAGGGAATGAAAGACATTTCTAAGCCGGTGAGTTACAGTAACCCCTATACTACATTTCTCATGACCGGGTGAGTTTTCTAGCCTTATACTGACATGTTTTCTATGAGCCCGGGGGAGTTACATAACCCATTGACATGTTCTCATGAGCCAGGGGGGTTTTCGTAGACCCCTTTTACTGCTTTCTCTTGACCAGGGTGATTACGTGACCTCTATACGACATGTTTTCTATAGCCAGGTGAGTTACAGTTTGCCTCTATTTTTGACATGTTTCTTTGAGCCAGGTGGTTACAGTACCCTCTATATGACATGTTCTCTATAGCCGGGGGGGGGTTCAGTAGACCTCTATACGGCATGTTTCTAGAGCCCGGGGGTTACGTAGACCTTATACTGACTGTTCTCTTGAGCCAGGGTGAGTTTACAAGACCTCTATCTGACATGTTCTCTCTCCTATGAGCCAGGCGTGGAGTTCAGTAGACCTCTATACTGACATGTTCTCTGAGCCAGGATAAGTGGGGCTAGGTCGGCGTCCCAAATGGCAACCTATTCCGATATAGTTGCACTACTTTACTCCCAAGACCTATGGCCCTAGTCAACGTACTTACTGCCCTAAATGGAAACATTGGGAACCTGGTGATAATATTATGCTAGAAGACAGCTGTCACCATGGCTGTCTGTAATAGGGTGGTTTTATTACGCTTAGAAGGACCGCTGGTCACCATGGTCTGTCTGATAATAGGGTGGTTTTATTACGCTAGAAGGACATGCTGGTCACCATGGTCTGTCTGATAATAGGGTGGTTTTTATTACGCTAGAAGGACAGCTGGTCACCATGGTCTGTCTGATAATAGGGTGTTTTATTACGCTAGAAGACAGCTGGTCACCATGGTCTGTCTGATAATAGGGTGGTTTATTACGCTAGAAGTACAGCTGGTCACCATGGTCTGTCTGATAATAGGGTGGTTTATTACGCTAGAAGGACAGCTGGTCACCATGGTCTGTCTGATAATAGGGTGGTTTTATTACGCTAGAAGGACAGCTGGTCACCATGGTCTGTCTGATAATAGGGTGGTTTTTTACGCTAGAAGGACAGCTGGTCACAATGGTCTGTCTGATAAAGGGTGGTTTTATTACGCTAGAAGGACAGCTGGTCACCATGGTCTGTCTGATAATAGGTGGTTTTATTACGCTAGAAGGACAGCTGGTCCCATGGTCTGTCTGATAATAGGGTGGTTTTATTACGCTAGAAGGACAGCTGGTCACCATGGTCTGTCTGATAATAGGGTGGTTTTATTACGCTAGAAGGACAGCTGGTCACCATGGTCTGTCTGATAATAGGTGGTTTTATTACGCTAGAGGACAGCTGGTCACCATGGTCTGTCTGATAATAGGGTGGTTTATTACGCTAGAAGTACGCTGGTCACCATGGTCTGTCTGATAATAGGTGGTTTTATACGCTAGAGGACAGCTGGTCACCATGGTCTGTCTGATAATAGGGTGGTTTTATTACGCTAGAAGGACAGCTGGTCACCATGGTCTGTCTGATAATAGGGTGGTTTTATTACGCTAGAAGGACAGCTGGTCACCAGGGTCTGTCTGATAATAGGGTGGTTTTATTATGCTAGAAGGACAGCTGGTCACCATGGTCTGTCTAATAATAGTGTTGTTTTATTATGCTAGAAGGACAGCTGGTCACCATGGTCTGTCTGATAATAGGTTGGTTTTATTACGCTAGAAGGACAGCTGGTCACCATGGTCTGTCTGATAATAGGGTGTTTTATTACGCTAGAAGGACAGCTGGTCACCATGGTCTGTCTGATAATAGGGTGGTTTTATTACGCTAGAAGGACAAGCTGGTCACCATGGTCTGTCTGATAATAGGGTGGTTTTATTACGCTAGAAGGACGCTGTGTCACCATGGTCTGTCTGATAATAGGGTGGTTTTATTACGCTAGAAGGACAGCTGGTCACCATGGTCTGTCTGATAATAGGGTGGTTTTATTACGCTAGAAGGACAGCTGGTCACCATGGTCTGTCTGATAATAGGGTGGTTTTATTACGCTAGAAGTACAGCTGGTCACCATGGTCTGTCTGATAATAGGGTGGTTTTTATTACGCTAGAAGGACAGCTGGTCACCATGGTCTGTCTGATAATAGGGTGGTTTTATTACGCTAGAAGGACAGCTGGTCACCCATGGTCTGTCTGATAATAGGGTGGTTTTATTACGCTAGAAGGACAGCTGGTCACCATGGTCTGTCTGATAATAGGGTGGTTTTATTACGCTAGAGGACAGCTGGTCACCATGGTCTGTCTGATAATAGGTGGTTTTATTACGCTAGAAGGACAGCTGGTCACCATGGTCTGTCTGATAATAGGGTGGTTTTATTACGCTAGAAGGACAGCTGGTCACCATGGTCTGTCTGATAATAGGGTGGTTTTATTACGCTAGAAGGACAGCTGGTCACCATGGTCTGTCTGATAATAGGGTGGTTTTATTACGCTAGAAGGACAGCTGGTCACCATGGTCTGTTCTGATAATAGGGTGGTTTTATTACGCTAGAAGGACAGCTGGTCACCATGGTCTGTCTGATAATAGGGTGGTTTTATTACGCTAGAAGTACAGCTGGTCACCATGGTCTGTCTGATAATAGGGTGGTTTTATTACGCTAGAAGGACAGCTGGTCACCATGGTCTGTCTGATAATAGGGTGGTTTTATTATGCTAGAAGGACAGCTGGTCACCATGGTCTGTCTGATAATAGGGTGGTTTTATTATGCTAGAAGGACAGCTGGTCACCAGGGTCTGTCTGATAATAGGGTGGTTTTATTATGCTAGAAGGACAGCTGGTCACCATGGTCTGTCTGATAATAGTGTTGTTTTATTATGCTAGAAGGACAGCTGGTCACCATGGTCTGTCTGATAATAGGTTGGTTTTATTACGCTAGAAGGACAGCTGGTCACCATGGTCTGTCTGATAATAGGGTGGTTTTATTACGCTAGAAGGACAGCTGGTCACCATGGTCTGTCTGATAATAGGGTGGTTTTATTACGCTAGAAGGACAGCTGGTCACCATGGTCTGTCTGATAATAGGGTGGTTTTATTACGCTAGAAGGACAGCTGGTCACCATGGTCTGTCTGATAATAGGGTGATTTTATTACGCTAGAAGGACAGCTGGTCACCATGGTCTGTCTGATAATAGGGTGGTTTTATTACGCTAGAAGGACAGCTGGTCACCATGGTCTGTCTGATAATAGGGTGGTTTTATTACGCTAGAAGGACAGCTGGTCACCATGGTCTGTCTGATAATAGGGTGGTTTTATTACGCTAGAAGGACAGCTGGTCACCATGGTCTGTCTGATAATAGGGTGTTTTATTACGCTAGAAGGACAGCTGGTCACCATGGTCTGTCTGATAATAGGGTGGTTTTATTACGCTAGAAGGACAGCTGGTCACCATGGTCTGTCTGATAATAGGTTGGTTTTATTACGCTAGAAGGACAGCTGGTCACCATGGTCTGTCTGATAATAGGGTGGTTTTATTACGCTAGAAGTACAGCTGGTCACCATGGTCTGTCTGATAATAGGGTGGTTTTATTACGCTAGAAGGACAGCTGGTCACCATGGTCTGTCTGATAATAGGGTGGTTTTATTACGCTAGAAGGACAGCTGGTCACCATGGTCTGTCTGATAATAGGGTGGTTTTATTACGCTAGAAGGACAGCTGGTCACCATGGTCTGTCTGATAATAGGGTGGTTTTATTACGCTAGAAGTACAGCTGGTCACCATGGTCTGTCTGATAATAGGGTGGTTTTATTACGCTAGAAGGACAGCTGGTCACCATGGTCTGTCTGATAATAGGGTGATTTTATTACGCTAGAAGGACAGCTGGTCACCATGGTCTGTCTGATAATAGGGTCGTTTTATTATGCTAGAAGGACAGCTGGTCACCATGGTCTGTCTGATAATAGGGTGGTTTTATTACGCTAGAAGGACAGCTGGTCACCATGGTCTGTCTGATAATAGGGTGGTTTTATTATGCTAGAAGGACAGCTGGTCACAATGGTCTGTCTGATAATAGGGTGGTTTTATTACGCTAGAAGGACAGCTGGTCACAATGGTCTGTCTGATAATAGGGTGGTTTTATTACGCTAGAAGGACAGCTGGTCACCATGGTCTGTCTGATAATAGGGTGGTTTTATTACGCTAAAAGGACAGCTGGTCACCATGGTCTGTCTGATAATAGGGTGGTTTTATTACGCTAGAAGGACAGCTGGTCACCATGGTCTGTCTGATAATAGGGTGGTTTTATTACGCTAGAAGGACAGCTGGTCACCATGGTCTGTCTGATAATAGGGTGATTTTATTACGCTAGAAGGACAGCTGGTCACCATGGTCTGTCTGATAATAGGGTTGTTTTATTACGCTAGAAGGACAGCTGGTCACCATGGTCTGTCTGATAATAGGGTGGTTTTATTACGCTAGAAGGACAGCTGGTCACCATGGTCTGTCTGATAATAGGGTGGTTTTATGACGCTAGAAGGACAGCTGGTCACAATGGTCTGTCTGATAATAGGGTGGTTTTATTACGCTAGAAGGACAGCTGGTCACCATGGTCTGTCTGATAATAGGGTGGTTTTATTACGCTAGAAGGACAGCTGGTCACCATGGTCTGTCTGATAATAGGGTGGTTTTATTATGCTAGAAGGACAGCTGGTCACAATGGTCTGTCTGATAATAGGGTGGTTTTATTACGCTAAAAGGACAGCTGGTCACCATGGTCTGTCTGATAATAGGGTGGTTTTATTACTCTAGAAGGACAGCTGGTCACCATGGTCTGTCTGATAATAGGGTGGTTTTATTACGCTAGAAGGACAGCTGGTCACCATGGTCTGTCTGATAATAGGGTGGTTTTATTATGCTAGAAGGACAGCT